CCGGCTACCAGTGCTGATTTTCACTGGCTTTAGTCAGTAGGACATCATAAGATTCGAGTTGAAATTGTTTTCGTGCATTTGATTGAGTGTGTTTCTGTATGTTATTGCATGCTACGTTAGGGTGTCAATGTGAACTGTTATTCCCTACAAGTACAGTGGCAAGCCCAGCAAAGGTTACCGCTCCACTCCACTAACGAAAAGTTACACCTCTCTGGATTGAAGAAGCCTAGCTCTTCAGCATTATGCTACTGTATCACACGGCCGTTGATGGAGCTATATTGCCAGTTTGTGGGAGTAGTTTCAAGCAAGCGAGACAGTACGCCTCATGGCAGCGCTCTCGCACCACTAATGCACCATTGGACCCTCACCGCTGCAACTCTCATCGCTGCTCCGTCGCTCATGTCAAAGTGTATTTTACTCGTTTCTGATATGTACAATCATTGGCGATTTTTTTTTGACCTTGAATGCCAGCGCATGTCGTGCTAATCGTATACCTGACGAAGAGACGGGACACTGAAGTAGATGCTAGTGAGTCGCTGCAGGCTACGTCATTCACATGCTAATTACTGCACAGATCATCTCAAAAGGAAACTTCACCAGCTTTATGTTTCTGCGGATCGGGGACCTCTTCGGGTAACTGATCCCAAACGAACGAGCAACAGCACGACAAACAAGAGGCCTTGGGATTTCAGCAGTTGGGCTCACACGGGTGACGCTTGTGGGGTGAAAGAAGGCACGAGCCTGCATTTTATCTGTAGGTTGGCGCAATATGGAATTTCTGAGACGGGGCCCGTTGCGGACACTTAACTTTTTCATGGCGCATTTACCTTCGGAATACTGAGATATCAAGGCACAGGGACTCAAGAAGCGGCGATTGAGGCGCGATTAGCAGGAGTGAACAAAAACAGTGAATATTCCGCGTAAGAATTGAGGCGGAGGAGAGTGTGTGAAGGATTTACGGTCCATGCCATAACAGGGTTTTCATTGACGTCGAAGGATTGGGACAGTGCGCGAAAACATTGCTTGGAGTGGCTTACCGCGCAAGTCCTGCTTGGAAAGAGCCGACCCAGCCACCTACTTCTCAACAGATGGTCCTGCCGAGACTCGAAAGAGAGCGCACTCATGGAGGCGTAGTGTTATTCATCTCTCTCTGCAGTCTGAAGACGCGATACCAACAAATTGGTAAGGAAATAGATAAATGGAGCAGTGCAGAGGCGTCCAGGTCGCTGCCTCGATTAGATGCGAAGACTGCGACACAACACCACAAGCCGACCTGAAGAGACGACTACGGGCGTTGCTTCGGCAGGAAAAACTATATACACGGAGAGACGGAGAGTCTACCTTCAACGACTGTTCCTCCAATCGCCACAGAATAGAAGGAGGGACACTATGGAATGTCGGATCTGTATGCAGGGAAGTCGGGGAATATACTCATTCAGATGCCGGCATGGGCGTACTCGCCAGGAAACGGTCGACGTGCGAATTGTTACAAACTCGAGTGATTTCGTTCAGCTGCCATGCGAGCTGAGCAGTGTCGGTAATCGAATAAGACGAAGCGCCGGCATAACGGAAGTTCAACGAAGCCTTGCTCAAGGCAGTAGTAAAACTGACGATTGGGGCCCGTATGCTTCGTCTGTTGTCAGCGTAGACATGGGCTCAAGGATACATGAGAGGAAGAGTCGCTTTAGGGCAAAGGCTCTAATCGTAAAACCCGAACTAACAGCATTAGGCGCTGTGCCGAGCAATTGCATCGCCATTTCCGATAGAAGCGAGATCAGCAGTCGATGCACCTCCCAACATAGGTCTATCGATACACGCGCAGGGGAACAAGCACTGTGGGACGTCTCTGTAATATCCAGTCGGGATGAGGAGAATACTCTGAAAGTGAGGCCGACACGTGCCAAGGACAACGACGTTCCATCCTGCAATGGGGAACACGACGGTACAGGCAGGAAATGCAATGAATTGCACAGCATTTGCCATGATGAATTCACTGAAGACTCTGTTAAAAACGGTTCCATGGAGCCTCTCAATGCTGCATGCACTGCAAATACAGCAACTGGAAATGTTCAGCAAGAACGGCACACGCAGGAACCGTTCGCACTTTGGGGGGATGTGAGTAGCCTACGACACTTGAGTGGATATTGCGCTTTGACATCGAAAACCCAGCTAAAAGACCAGCCGCTAAAGGCCGGTGCACAGGACTTGGAACGGTCTCCGGGCAGACAGGAGAAGGAATCCTTGCGCACGACGTCAGAAGCATGCAGTGATGCGCTGCAAACGCCGACGACGGGAGGGTGGCCAGAGTGCGTTGTGAGCATGCTAGGCCCAGATATATTCAACCGACTTAAGGAAGAACCGTAGGTCTCGCGTTGCTGTCTCTTATCAAGTTTTCTCCGTCGAGAGCTGTTTGGACAGAACTACATTAACTGCTGCTAGCGTGGGGCTATGCTTAGATGCAATGCGAAGACCCCGCTTTTTCTGATTCACCCTGTTCAGACAATTGGTGCATGCTACAAGCAAGGCTTCCGGAATGTCTCTGTTCCACCACATGCTGCGGCACCCCCGAAAAGAAGATGAGCAAGTACTGAAGCTATTCAAGTGCATCTACGAGGACAAACCTCTAAAAGAACGAGTCAGCCTCCCTTCACTTACTTCCCTCCGGTGCGACAAGGGCCAAACACTAGCCTTCTACGCTGCTGCTTATGGCCACGCCAAGTGTCTGAAATGGATCCTTGAGCAAGCAGGTGACATACGAACCTTCGTAGCAGCGTCATACGAGTGCATGAAGCCGTGGCGTTTTACTCCATCATCGACTTGGATTTGAGCAGATTGCCTAATTTATTAGCGTTGGGTGTTGGAGGCATTCTTTGGTTGCCCGTGTGCTGCATCTTGCTGCGAAAACAAATTCTCTTCTTGTCAAGCTAGTCTTCACGCTACAGGCGGAAAGAGTAACCAAAGAAGATTCCTTGAGATCCGTGACAAACAAGGAGACACTCCATTGCACTACGCAGTGAAGGGAGGCCACGTCGACGTGATCGAGTTGCTGCTCAGTCTTGTCCCAGACATGCTGAACCACCAGCGTAGTAACGGCCAAACACCTCTTTTCGATGCATTTGAGCGGCCTGCGATTGTGCAGCTTCTGTTAAGTCGCGTAAGGAGGCTGCCGTTAGCCGCACACATGTATGGTTGCCTTTCTCGAGTTTGTTTCACCCGTTTATCCGCATGAGGTTCATTCGGTTTGTAGCGTGCAGACCAAAGCTGCTGCTGTTTCTGCTTCCACAGGGCGCTGACTACAGTGTGAGGTGTAATCGGGGCCTAACACCCCTGGAAGCAGCTACTGATGAGCTGCGATGGAAACGCCAGTGCTTGAGACGTACGTCCAAAGCTCTACCGAGACGACTTTCCTTTACGGTGAATTTGCTGAAGAAAGCAGAGTTGGCTTTAACAAAGGCAAACATGGGAGGACTTCATACCGAAGGTCTATCCACTTCTGGGCAAATCTCGGGACTAACAAGCGGTCCGAATCCCAGTAATTACGATGAAGAGAGACCTTAGTATGGCGGTTACGGTGATCCGGAGTTCCAGCCTGGGATGGGAGCTGAATCTGTTACCATTGTTCCACAAACGCGGCAAGCAAACGTACTTCTGGTCTCAGCTAGTGGCACTGCAAGGCAATTGTGTGACTGCACAGACAGCAGTTGCGGAAGCAAGAGCTGCAGTACGCCAGCGTGATGGGGATAACTCTTAACGGGGGCGAACTGTAGTTCCCAGACTGAGTAATTGAACCCCTGCTCCAAGCAGATTGAGGAAAACGTCGAGGAGCAGTATTGCCCCCACAACGCGTATACTAGGGAGAGCTCTCAGCGCGTAAAGACGAAGCACCGAGCAGGAAGGCGAACGGCTCACAGGGGCCCTCAAGAGGTGATGCTGTTGTCAAGTACAGCAAACACACAAAGGGCCCTTCTTATTGCCGGAGCTCACCATCACCAACCACTCATGAGTAAAGTGTCGTGCGCCTCCCCCCATGAAATTCTAACACTTTTGGCTTTGCTCACACGGAGCAGGTGCGCCTCATAGACGAAAGGCGGTCTCATCCACTGAGGCACTAGCAGTTTACTTGCAGGTATCAACTCACGTAGTACCTGACTGCGCTGCCTTTGAATCAAGCCCGCTGACGAGCTTGTGTGCAGACACACAGTGCTTCCAGCGTTTGAAAGCAAGCCACCCACATTCCATGCTATTAATGTTGATTCATTGCACATCTTAGGTGCATACCGTCCTCTGCGCTCCGTGTAAGCTATCGAGCGGCTGGTTGTCGCAGCACTGTCCCTCATGTACGACAACGCATAAGCTTGGACTGTATATGAGTTCGATGCATTGATTTCATGCCTGGTTCTTACCACTTGGGTAGTGCTGTTTCGCGCACCACCCCACTACAACATTCTACGAGGGACCGCAGTAGGGAGCCAGCTAATGAGTATTTGGGAGTTGGGTACGGTGGAGCGGCACATTGGTGGGTGCCAGCCGTTTTCGTGCGCTGCATACGCTACTCAATTGGAGTGACTACTTTGGTCGTAGAAATCCAAGATACTAGTGGGCATGCTCTACAGCTGTACTGCGCTGTGGAACAGGCACTACCCGCGCTGCGTAGCAGATCTCAGCAGCCACCACGCCACGGCACTGGTAACTACTACAGATCAAGCATGTTGTGTAAGCTTTCTTCTTGCATGGGCGCAGATCCTTGAGCATATAGAGAATGCCTGCTTCTTCGTCTGCAGCTTCTTTTGCACGTAAATGGCCTCTATGACTCCAATAAGTGGACCCCATGTAGAGAGGCGGCTTCTTTGAAGGTGGACCAAATACTTCGCGCTCTCTGGCTTCAAAAAGATCATGCTCTTCCCTAGGGCGTATGTGCCTGCAACAGATACGGAGGCTCGCATAAAGCGTGACACTTGGTACTCGTAAACAAGCATATTATCAGCTGACGGCCCGGAAAATCACGACAGCAATGTACGGGGTAGCATACCGCTCTCCAGATTCGCCGAGGCAAGTATTGCTTGCGTGGCAGCCTTCTTGTCCGTCTGTTTAGCCGCACTAATGTCGATGAACTGGAACTGTTCAACAAATTCCTGAACGGTTAGCACATGACAGCATGCCTATCTGCTCAGAGTAAGCGCACATGGTATCCTTAGCGTATCGTCGCACCATTAAGTGCTTTCCCGGATAACAGTACATCTGCTAATGGCAACAGCAGGAATTCCGAACAAACCTGGAACTGACGCCGATACGAATATCCAAGCTGACGAAGCTGCAAAGCTTCGATAATTGAGAGTGCATGCAACTGAATGAGCACTTTGCTCTGGATCCACAAGAGAGGCTTCTTCTCCTCGTTGGGCTTTACACACCTTAGCAAGCAAACGGACACATACAATTTCACAAATTTCAGAGCTCCATACCCGTCTGGCCGCCAAAGTACACTTACGGACCACCTCAGCATGGGCTTCCTTATGTTTAAGGGCGGAAGAAGCTATTGTTGCGCATTGGCAACGACGTCCCCACTCTACAAGACTCAACTGCAGCGCGTGCTTACCTGATGAAGTGAGATTCTGTTGAGCCAATCAGTGACATTAACTTATTCAGCTGCGCTAAGAACTGCGAGCCGATCAGAGACCCTTTCGCCATCTTCCCTCTTTCAACTTTCACCCCTTCAAAAAGAGCCCGCACAACTGAGTTTCTCGAAGCCTGGCCAATCACACAAATACGATAAGTCGGAAATACACTGAAACCCCAAAACTACGTCTCCCGCAATGACCAGCCAATGCGAAGGGCCGTTTCCATAATCTACATACGAACTCTCACTAAATTTTGGTTTGCCCGTGCAGAGAAAAGAGGAATGTACCTGCACAACTTCAACCATTTCAGGGCGCAGAACGTCCTTGTTCTTAAATATAAATCCCTGCGCATTGTATTTGATTGTTCCAATGGTGTGCTTTACAAAGAAAGAGCTCTGAGCGTCAAGCTTGGCCGGCACAAATCTTGGGCAGGATTTAAGCTTCGTGCAGCACGCGCTGACAAGTTTTTCATCGCTGCCCCCTGCGGAAAAATATTCATAACTCTAACTCTTGAAGAAGGCAAAGTGAAAGTTCACACCCGATTAGAGAAGCGCTGCAGTACTGGGTGCTCACCAGGCGCCAAGCACTGGTCTTCCAGAACACTGAGGACGGAATTTCCCTTATCAATCAATACGCTTATGACGTCAGTGTTGGCCGTGAACTCAATATCCTTCGCCGTAATGCCTTCGCTCTTATAAAGAGCACTCTCTCTTGCAAAAACCACTTCTGTAAATGTACTCTGAAGTGGGCACAGGAACATCAATGTGCTGCCGCTCTAAAATACTGAACTAGAATGCCACGCGGACGACTGAACGCAAATGCGTGACTCGTGCCTTTTCGTATGTGCTGAATACAGAAAGTCCAGACTGAATCGCCTACCTGAAGCATTTCATTCGTGATGTTAATAAACAGCTGCTCAAGAGAGTTGTTCTGGAATACTTCAAAGCCGAAAATATCTAAGAGTCCTGAAAAAACGCAGATACGAAACCCTCTTGACTGAATAAACACCTGCACAAGGAACGCCATATCCTGTGAAACCTAAATTAGGTCTCGAGGAGGCGCAGCTTTATCAATTCCTGATACACGACAATAGCAGAAAGAGCTTCACCCCAAACTCTTGGCCTTACCCATAAATGTCTGGAATCGCCTTACCCATAAATGTCTGGAATCCCCCCTGGGGCTCTATTGTGGAGTTGAGAGCTTGGATAATCCACAGAAACAACTTCTCGTATACCGCTTTCGCTAGAGAGCCACGGAGCGTGTCTGAGTCCTCGGCTGTCCATCGTCCTTCGATCTTGTTGCTGCCTGCCAAGTATCAATGCCAAGCACAACGTAACCGCAAGCAGCACTGCTTGCTCACAAATATGCTCGTTTCAGAGCCACGGGTGAGGCACACTAACACGGTCGATACTGCAGTTTCATTCTTTGTGACCAGGAGTACCTTCCTCGTTGGACAAGAACGGCTAAACAGCACCATAGTAAATCCAGCCTACCAGCGTAGGTAACCTTGACAGTTAGCTCCGTCAGAATGCGATCTCCATCCAAAAACAGAAGGTCACAGGCGTCCTTGAGAACGCGTAAACTTTCGCCAGCTATTACTGCAGCGTTGTCAACCCCGCCCTCCTTCTTGCCTGACAAGGAAGATGAAGCCAGCACACTGCTTTCAGTCGTTACTCTGAAAAGAGGTGAAGTGCACGTCCGAAATTTGGCTGAAGCTACAGCACTTCTGGTGCGGGCTTGCTCCGCCGGGCACTCTGCAAGATGCCAAGTACTCTACGGGAAAACTGTGCTTGATAAAACGCGTGTAGTTGAATTTGAGACCGGCCTACCAGCTGTTGTCACGTTTCCCAGAAGCAACACCCCTGACACAACGGACCATATGGTGTGGCGCTGCTCCTCCTTCAAGCCCATGGACTCAAACGCCTTCACTACAGCTTCAAATTCTTCAAGGTCATCGACTCCTTCGATTGAAGACACAAAAAGTCGCAACGATCGAGGACTAACTACGCACATGGACGAAGGCTCAATGGTTCAATCACCGCACGACTTCCTAACCAAGGATAGAGCTTCAGATGAACACTATAGAATAGACTCAATCATCCCCCTAAGGTAAGCATACCAGGAGCATCGATACAGTGTGGGTTGAGAAACTTATACTTGCTGCAGCTCAACAGCTTGTAGCGCTCCTTCATTTGTGGAGAGCTCCCCTTGAGCATTTGATAGAAGATATGGTAGGAGCGCTCATTCCGATCCTATCACAAGAGTAAAAATGCCACTTCACAACAGAACGCTATGACGTCCCAGAATGAACTACTGATACAAATAAAGCCCGCTGCAGTCGTGATCCCTGCAAGAGGCATCGGGAATTATTGCTTCGGAATGTTTACTTGGGTCAGGATTCGGCTCTTCTCCAAAAGAAAAGCGAGGACAGAGCCGTAACGAATGCCACCTCCCTTCGCCACATCTAATTGCATGAAACGTCCAAAACGACTGCTATTATTGTTCCGGACGGTCTTCGCATTGCCGAAAGCCTGTTGACATCCAGAGCAGAAGCGAAAAACAAAAAACTTCTTACTCTTCATAAACAGCGCTTCAACGGCAGCATGCAGCGAAAGTGCCCCGACAGTGCCTTGATTCACCTCGAGCACTGGATTTGCTGCCATGATGGCCTGCTGGATGCGCGCGTCTAAGTTTCCTGACCTTGCACTGGCGAAGTACTTCATCAGCTGCTTCGTAGTCTCCGTCTTTCCGGCTCCAGATTCTCCGGAAACCACAATGGTTTGGCTCTTTCTCACTCCATGGAGATTGTCAACGGCCCGCCGCGATATCTGAAAAATGTGTGGAGGCAGCTTGTCAGAGTCAGCTGCATCACGGTATTGAGCGATAACCTCAGCAGTCCCGTTGTGAAGATCTTGAAAAGGATTGATGGCCACAATTAGCGGCTCCACAGCCGTATACATAGCGTTGTTCATAAAGCGGATCCGCAGAAAATCCAAGACACACGGGATGTTCTGATGCGGGATAGTCCCGACGTCACTGTATGTCATGGGATCCAAGTTTGTGTTGGCATTAAACACTTGACTGGCAGTAGCTTCGAAGACCTGCAACGTACCATGACACAGCCCCAGCTACCCACGAGTGAGCGTCAAACTGCCTGCAGCAGCGTGAGTGTTTTGAGTCTGCCCTCTTGTTGTAAAACACCAGCTGCAAAAGAAAGCATTTCCCTTGAGTAGTCAGTCAAGAAAAAGCAGTAAGATACAAAGTCACGAACGTTGGACACTGACTTCGTCGCTGGGAGGCTGTTTTTGCTTCAGCATAAACTTGCTTGCAGTGGAACCAGGCTCCACAGAGCAAAGAGCAAACATCAAATCGGGATCTTTCCGGACCGCCGGCGCTGCCGTTGACCAGACCTCAAGCTTTGAAGTCCCACCACCATCTTGGGCGATGGCTACCTGAGGGTAACCAGAAAAATCTTGACAAGCAGCTAACACAGATGAATGAATCGAAGTCAAGAAGAATGGGATTGCCAGTCGGTCGGTACTTCAGAGGGTGACAAGGTCGCAGTGCTATCTTGGTGCTCCAGTGAATTTTGACACTAACTACTTCAACATAAGTTCAATCACGATATCAGGGTATGCGCTTTGCGCAGAACTCACTGCCGATCCTTTCTTAACCAGTGTCGCGGCCGTTTTGGCCTCAGTCTCCAGCTTGTCCGCCATCTTTGCCCTCTATAGTGACTATTCGGATGATCCACGCAACAAGGGCCACTTTTTGCTAAGAAACAGAATGCACAAAGCTCAGCAACGCTTCTGCGAACTGGCCACCACCGGGTGCCAGCTGTAGGGCACGTATGAAGAGCAAGACTGTGGCTCTAAATTAGAGTTACCGTTAGAGATACTGTAAGGTCTGAGAGAAACATGTTGTCTTATTCTGAAGGAGCGTTTTCGATACAAAGCAGCTGGTCTATTTGACTCACCGGCAGACCCCAGTGTGGCTCTGATGAGCCTTGATACTCAACGGGAGTGAGCCCGCCTTGACAAAAATGGAGTGCGAAGAAAACTCCTAAGCAGTCATTACTACACTACTCACGCTACCGGGAGTTGAGAGCTGAACTGCGTTCGAGGTTCTTCCAGCTGTGCGATCTACTTTATGACAGCTCCACTGTAATACGTGTCGCGAGGATGATTAATACGTTGTTATATCAGGGACTGAAACAGTGAAAACATTCAAACTTGAATGAATCTGACCAAAAGTGTGAAATGCTACGAACGGAGAGAAAGGCAGCTCCCAAGTGACAGCAATTCAATGTGGGCGACCGCTGGGCACATCGATTTTGCTCCTGTCAACGGGAACGGAATGTCCACGCTTCAAACCTGAGAGTCATGAATTTTTGAATGGCTCCAAATGTGTACTCAATTCTAAAAATAGGGCTACGCAGTATGGTAAGGTCTTCCGCACGTCACACCACTATGCATGCTAGCAGTCAAACAGGCTCACTGGGCATTGCTGCTCGCACAAATATATAGAGGCCTCTTCTTACTGCTTTTCACAACATCTTCAGCCTTGTGAAGGCATGTACATGCATATAAAACCCCCATTATTTGCGGAAGAGCGCGTATATGCATTTCCCTGAGAGCACTGGCTAGCTGGCTGCTGGCGCACTTTACTTTGGAGTTGCGTGTTGCTACTGGGTAAGAAGCTGCGCCTGAACTTCTTCGAAGTCCCCTTCAAGAAGATGCGATTCCTTGAGAGTTTTTATCTACTGATTATGAGCAGAGCCGTTGCTTCGTGCCTTACCTTTTCGCGGGCAGAACTGAACTGACTCCGTGAAAACAAAAACAAGTTATATATTTGGCATCGCTAAAAGAACAAGGCAAAAGAGTAAACATTTGACTAGCCAAAGCATAACATAACGGGTAATATATGCATTCCACGACTACTGGCAACCAGCCGGCTCCGCAGCGTAATTTCAAGAGAGCTAGGCTCTTAGCTCGCAGTGAGCAAATTAGCCTGACTTCGAAATTTTGAAGAAGCCTTCTCAACAGCTGTTATATGTTACTTTTATGTTACTTTGAGCATTTCTGTTGAGAAGAGTGGAGTTAAACACACTCAAGACTGGTTGCAGGCGTTCATGATTCCCCCTGCGGACAAGCATTTCAGTTCCATTCATTGTAGCTCAAGCTGGTTGACTCTTCGGCATACAGAAGCTGCACATCTGGTGCAACTTAAACTGGAAGATATCCAATCAAGCCTTCTTCCTTTGCAATTTCCTTGTGAGAAAGGTACTTGTTTTCAACGTTTTGGTCTACTATTTTGAAAGAACGTTCAAAAGTGGGCAGGATAAACTGCCCTTGTCAGTTGAGCTTGTTTGCAGTCAGTGTGGATATCACCCATAACGATAAGCAAAGTAAATAGCTCCTAAGAAAGTACTGCGAGCCTCAACATTTCCATCTAGTGCATCAAGCTTCACGGTATCGAGGCATCGCGCTGCACGTAGTGCAGAGGAGCAGCGGGAGGCCCCAAAAAGGCGAAGTAGAAAGGTAGTCAACAGCTTACCGCATGAGGCCAGATGAATAACTCGCGGGATCCGTAGAGTGAGCTGCCAAACGCAGCTTGAAGCAAGACATCACTCTGGAGCATCCAGATGCGTAAATATATTCTGCACAGCGTTGCGCAAGACGCCGCCGAAGCTGATGCCCAATTTGTTGCAGTTCTTTCAAGGGGCCAAAACTGCACCATGCTCACAATGACACTAATCGAAGATTAAAGTGGGGACGACGTGTCGTAGTCACCATGCGCAATTGCATGAATCACTGGATGTCCATACTGCGGAACCACAAGCCAAGCTAGGTACAAAATCGGGACATTCTGGGGTCGGTCCTAATTCATTTGGCAACAAGTCTAAGGATGAGCAGCATTAGATCAGAAGCATGGGCTGTATTCAAACATCAGCCGTAAGGAACATGACAAAAAGGAATAGAGTCAATAGAGCCAGTTACCCGTCGACCACAGCTTCCTCGACATCGCTGGTGTTAAGCTGGATCTCATGTTTGGTCACATCGCAGGAAGCTATGGAGATGAACACCGCTATGGATGGTCCTAAAACCCCATGGGGTACTTGCCGCCCAAAAGCTGCATCTTCAGTTAGGCTTGATATGCCGGAACCAGAGATCAAGCATAGCAGACCGCGCAGTCTTTGGAATTGGAGCAGGAACTACCCTATAACGTGTGATTGGTGAAATGTTAGGCATCAAATGCTTTCAAATGTTTTTTTTCCCATGAAAGGTCCTTGCCACCCTCATGTAGCGAAATGCTCTCCACATGGTTTATCACCTGACGCATTTTTGAAGGCGGAGGCAGGGCTTAAACCTAGCAACTTTATTCAGCACAACAATTCCTGAGGGTCGCTATGTGGCATGACGGCAACTGGATTAGCCATGATTGAACGCCCAACTCTATAAGGGGGTAGGGCCATGCTCGGTTCTTCCTACTGGCAAGCCTAGAACCATGGGAGCCAACAGTATAATACCAGTAAGGGGCAGGAAGGGGACTTGCTCACTAGAGCATTGCTGTCCAGGCAAGACCTCAGACAGACCCCTGACCCATATCTTCAAAGTAGCTAACAGATGCGGTATGCTGATAGGAATTGCCGTGGTCAGAGAGTCAGTGGACGCGATCAGCCAGCAAGTCGAACACCGATCATGAATATAACAATTTTCATATATGTTAAAAGATAGTGGTGACAACGGCCCAATGATGATGAGCGCAGCTAAAATGGATGCTCGTAAAGTAGTAGAGGATGGCAGCCCTTGAAGCGACGCTATACTGCCTACACTGCTCGTGCCTAGTGCAATACAAAGCACCGGACGGTATGCTACCGAACCTTGCGAGCATTTTAACCAGTCTAAACAATTAAAAAAGCAGAAGTCCCCGAGAGTTTACTGGCGGGCAAAAGAAAGGTGTCCTGGTGAAGACCTCCAGCCAACGTGTATGGGGCCTCAGAGCCCCGCGGCTAACCTCACCAGGCTGCGCTGCCATTAGAACCGCCTTGTGCTTCGAGATTGTAGTGAGAACTCGGCGCTTTTATATGGTTTATGTTGGGACGAGGGCTACTTTGATTTGGCACGTTTTCGCAATGTGGCCATGTGTGTGCTGACAGCAACTGAGTCCTTTTCAGCAGGCAATCTCGCGTACCCTAGCAAGGTTAGGCACTCAGAAATGCCTTTGGGCAGCATATCGTTATTAAGATGCGATAAGCCGACACAATGTAATAATAAGTTGTTCGCGAGGGCTGGTTTTGGCAAAAAATGTTTCGAAGCCTTGACTGTGCTACGCAGCCCCTCCCCGCTGGCGGCTGCGGCTGCGCAGGCACCCCACTTTCCGTGGGCTGCTGCACCGTTAGTGTCGCTGGCTTGTCTGTCGCTGTTGTTCCACATGTTCCAGCCAGGGAGTGGTATGTTCGAAAGGATTTGCCTTCTGAATATCGCTTTCGGTCCTAGCCGCCCCATCTACTTCCCCCCCTTCCGAAAATGGTACGCTGGTGTGAAGCGTCATGCACAACACGGAGCTTAGGGACGCGTTTAAGTGGTGGTTTCCCTGATCGTCCTGCGGGCAATGGCTTTTTCTGTTTTGCTGCGTATCCGGAAAATTGTCTTCTGACTGACTGCGGACAAGCAGAGCACGATGCTCATGCTGCACCCTACCGTGTGGGGGGTGGTGTCCCTGATGCGCTCGTTCATGCTCCTTCGCTTCCTTCAATTGTTGGGTCTATACTGCTCTTTAGTGGCCTGGTTTATGACTGATGCTTGTTCCGAGGCCGACGGAGGCAACGTTAAGGGGCGATGCTACAGGCTCCCCGGTTGGAAGCATGCATTGTTTCTATGGCTGCTGTGGTCGGAAATAGCTTACTTGCGCGATGACGTGAATTGTGTTCTTCATAGGCTGTCTGTGGTGGTGGTTTCAGGTGAACTTTTCAGTGGATCAGATGCGCGAAATTATGGGCAATCCTAAGAACATTAGGAATATGTCCGTCATTGCCCATGTCGACCACGGAAAGAGCACTCTGACGGACTCCCTGGTGTGTAAGGCGGGCATTATTTCAGAAAAGGCATCTGGAACGGCTCGCTTCACGGATACCCGGGCGGATGAGCAGGAACGATGCATCACCATCAAGAGCACAGGCATCTCGTTGTATTTTAAGCAGGACATTGATGATGGAGCGGGCGAGCAGGAGTTTCTTATCAACCTTATCGACTCTCCAGGACACGTTGACTTCAGCTCTGAAGTCACAGCTGCTCTCCGTGTCACGGACGGCGCCCTCGTTGTTGTTGACTCGGTTGATGGTGTCTGTGTACAGACAAAGACCGTCTTGCGCCAGGCGCTTCAGGAGAGAATCAGGCCTGTGCTGCATGTGAACAAGGTGGACCGTGCGCTGCTAGAGTTGCAAATGGACCCTGAAGAAATCTACTTAACTTTCGAGCGCAATGTCGAGAATGTCAATGTCATTATCTCAACCTGCAGTGATGAGAACGTCGGTGACATGCAAGTCTTCCCTGAAAAGGGAACAGTTTCGTTTGGTTCAGGGCTGCATGGTTGGGCCTTTACAATTGAGAAGTTCGCGAAGCTGTACGCAGCCAAATTCGATGTGCCCAAGGAGAAGATGATGCAGCGTCTGTGGGGCAACAACTTCTACAACGCAAAGGAGAAGAAGTGGACCAAGACCCAAACTGAAGGATCTCAGAGAGCTTTCTGCCAGTTCATTATGGACCCCATCTGCAAGCTGTTTTCGACCATCATGAATGATCAGAAGGATAAATACGAGAAGATGCTGACCACTCTAGGAGTTGAATTGAAGGTTCGCCTAGGCACTAAAGTTTCCACACTAGCAAGTTGAACAGTTAGACATTTGGTGCACATAGTGCGTCATCTTCCCTTCGGTATGTTCTCAGGGTGAAGATAAGGATTTGACCGGCAAGGCATTGCTGAAGCGAGTCATGCAGCTCTGGCTCCCGGCCGGAGATTGCTTGCTGGAGATGATTGTCCGCCACTTGCCTTCGCCATGGCAGGCGCAGAAGTACCGTGTGGATACTCTGTATGAAGGCCCTAAGGACGACGAGGCAGCAAACGGCATTAGAAACTGCGATCCTAACGCTCCTCTCATGATGTATGTGAGTAAAATGGTGCCAACTTCCGACAAAGGTCGGTTCTACGCTTTTGGTCGTGTGTTCTCTGGAACTGTCGCCACTGGCCAGAAGGTCCGCATCCAGGGTCCCTACTACGTGCCTGGGGAAAAGACCGATTTGACTATTAAAACTATCCAGCGTACAGTCATTATGATGGGCAAGTACGTCGAGCAGGTGCAGGATGTGCCTTGCGGCAACACTTGCTGCCTCGTCGGTGTCGACAAGTTCTTACTTAAATCGGGAACCCTCACTACTTATGACCAGGCCCACAACATTGCGGACATGAAGTACTCTGTTTCTCCCGTTGTCCGTGTTGCCGTCAAACCGAAGGATATGAAGGAGCTTCCAAAGCTTGTGGAGGGTCTGAAGCGCCTGTCAAAGTCTGACCCGTTGGTGGTGTGCACCACTGAGGAAAGTGGTGAACACATCATTGCTGGGTGTGGCGAGCTGCACGTGGAAATTTGCCTGAAGGATCTTAAGGAGGAATACGCCCAAATTGACATCATTGTGTCGGATCCTGTGGTGTCGTACCGTGAGACCGTTACTGCACCATCGTCCATGACTTGCCTATCGAAATCACCGAACAAGCACAATAGGCTTTACATGACAGCGGAACCTCTCCCTGAAGGCTTGCCAGAGGCCATTGAATCCGGCAAGATCAGCTCAAAGGATGGGCCCAAGGAGCGTGCCAACGAGCTGAGCGAGAAGTTCGATTTCGACAAGAATCATGCAATGAAGATTTGGTGCTTCGGACCTGAAACCTCCGGGCCCAACATCCTTGTTGATATGACGGTTGGTGTGCAATATCTCAACGAAATCAAGGATCACTGCAACTCTGCATTTCAGTGGGCAAGCAAAGAAGGTGTGCTGTGCGAGGAGAACATGCGAGGTATCCGTTTCAACCTGACAGATGTCACCATGCACGCAGACGCTATCCACAGAGGTGCTGGCCAGATCATGCCGACGTGCCGCCGTGTGCTGTACGCCGCACAGCTCGTTTCCCAGCCTCGTCTCCAGGAACCCATGTTCTTGGTCGATATCTCGGTGCCGCGTGACTCAATGGAAGGCATCGACACGGTGCTCTTCATGCGTCGTGGGCACGTGTTCGAGGAAGATAGCAAGCCTGGCAACCCGCTCGTTGTGCTGCGTGCCTATCTGCCAGTTGCTGAATCATTCGGATTCACGACAGCTCTGCGTGCCGCTACATCAGGTCAGGCTTTCCCTCAGTGCGTCTTCGACCACTGGAGCTGCCTCAACGGTGACCCACTAGAAAAGGGAAGCAAGATGGAAGCTTTGGTGCAGGGTATCCGTACAAGGAAGCATCTTAAGCCCGAAATTCCTCCCCTGGACCACTACTACGACAAGCTGTAAGGCTGGCCCACTACTAATACAAGCTGTTCGGCGGTGTGCAATTCTGGTGAGATGTGTCCCCTTTGCGTTGTTTGAACATCTGGGGCTAAGAAGTGAATGTGAATGTGGGCTGGTTCCCTGAAAAAGTTTCCCCGTCACCAGGCAGCTCCGACGAAAGGAAGTTCTGCCGTGATGTGAGGACTGGCGACATTTGGAATCGCGCTGTCTCGGCGCGTCGAAATCGTTCCTTTTGCTTCGAGCATATTCGCCTGTGCAGTCCCTGCGCATCGCCTTAGCCGTGCGCCGCTAGCCTTTTTTGGCGGGGACACCGTGCGTAGCTAGCCTGACTGACAGTAGATCTCCAAATACTTAGTGCAGGAAAGTTGTGCCGTTCTAGAGATGCTGCTTCCGGGGGCGCCAATGGGCCCCCCGCTGGCCGGAAATGATTGGTGATGGGACATACAAGGGAAACGCCGTTAACAGTGGAGTCCGTCACATGATCGAGCACATGCTGCTCCGCTTTTCCTGAACAATGTATATGCATTGCAGTGTGCCTTCAATGGCTTCAGACCCACGTTGAATACGCTGTGTTGGGCCAACTATCGCGCTACTCAGGGACGCACCTTGCGATCCACTTGGTAATCTGTTGATCACAAGCAAGCATAAGCGCAACAGACACTAAGTAGCCTGGTGTTATGTAGAGTTTACGGGAGTCTAAACATTTACCCAGGAGAGTCCCACCTGTGCTGCTCGGGTCCGAATGCCACTTGGATTTCACTCCTTTGGCGGCGCTCGACGACATTTGCCTGAAGAGGGAGCTTCTTTTTCGCTCCTTCCTCGTAGCTTTAAGCACTTCACAGTTGTGGTCTTCTTTTAACCGGTGTTTGATGCAAACATCCACTTGACAGTGTGGGCAATGGATGGACGAGATCGCTGTGAGGCGCTGCTAGGACAAGCAGCAAATATGCAGTTCAAATACCTCAGCGCAAGTTCTTTCGGCGCAGACACAGAGCCCGTGGAACCCACTCTGGAAAAGTGCACTGCTAACCCCCGCAGTGTGGCGATATGCAGACAAAGCTATGGAACAAGGATGTGACAACTATGTGGGCCCGCGCGACACTTCCCCAGCCTACTTCTTTGCATCCCTTGACTGGGCACTGCCTCCCCTTCTGTATTTTCTCCCTCTGAGCCCGAAGCTCTGGCCTGCACTGAGGACGGTGGCGCACTGCTGCTGCCTCTTCAGTCTCCAAGTCCATCTGAGCCAAGGACACCGACGCCTAACTGGCAAGACGAACTAGATGCAACCACGCATACTTCACTTGGTAGGCTTCTCAACTGAAAACAGCTGGCTCACAGCATCAAGTGCAGAATGTCCGCGCACCACGCGCCTCTAGGTGCACACCTCCTGCGGGCAGCATGCACTTACAAGTCCAACTACTTCCAAGCAAGTGGGGCAGACGAAGACGCGCCGATCCCCAGCATTCTTCCGTGGACAGGAGTGGTCATCTGGAAGGTAGTGCTCCAAGCAAAACTGACGCGCAACACAGCAGCAGCAGCAAACTGGCCACGGAGCACAAGCAGGTTCGGCTGCGTCCACAGCAGCGTTCGCCTGAAGCAGCTTAGTACAAGTATCCCACGGAAACAGTATGGCCTGAGTCGGCTGCTGGGTCAGCAAAGCTGCAGCCCTTGCGGGGTGCTGCTTACCACTTTTCCACACTTGTTGCAATTGAAGGGGAGAAAATCTCTCTGTCGACACAGTGAGTCGCTGCAAGTTAATCCCTTGTCCGATAGAACTGCCATGTTCAAGTTCAGCTTAGAAGCACCATACAGCACAAAGACCTACCGGAGGGTCGCTACTTCTTTAGAGGGTACCTGCGGACTCCCCACTACTGTGATTGACTGGAAGAGCCAGCGGGTGGACCCCGTGACTTGGCCTGATCCCTCAAGAGGCCCTTCCCAAACCCGCTCAAGAGTTATAACATGGATATGGATTTGTGCCGTCCACTCCGTATTTCAGTATGGCAGCTCACTCACGCTGAGCGCGATTTACTTTTGCCCTTGCGAGTAGAGCCTTCCACTTGGAAAAAAGGAAGGAGTCACGGATTTTAAAATAGGAATCCTTTTGACGAAAAGTGGTCACTGCTGGAGATGGTTAAGTAGAGCAGGCATTGCGAGTGGTCACCGGTGGTTCGGTACTTCCTTGCCGAGCCTTTTGACAGTTTCTTGTTAAGCAAACGCACAGAAACTTCAGTCTTCATTGAAAAAAATGCAGTTCCTTTCTGTTCGGAAGTACCGAAGTTACCGCACAACTTCTTTACACGAGCCAACAGCGGCATGCAAGCCTACAACAGTTGTCGTCGGAAGCTTCCGATGCACCTCCTGCACTCTTACTACAGTAGTGAGGAGAACAAATTAAAGGATTTGGTATCATGCACCCTCCTGCTGCGAGCTCATTGTCAATGGGCACAGCACGGTACATGAAGCTTCTGCCACTCCCTGCTTTCAGAGGGGTGCATCCATGCTTGTCCAGTTATGCAAGAACTAAAACATCCCCGGCACAGCAAGTGTTTCAGATATTGTACTAAGTCGTGCACATGAAACAAGATCGTTGAGAATATGCACTTGGGAAATCTGTTGACGGCTTTAGTGTCAACAACGGAAAATTGAATGGGTATCACTGGAATGCGGGCATTACCGCACATAGAGGCTTGTTTCTCCGGCAGAATTCCGTGAAGCTGTTCAAAACAGCTGGTAGAAAGTTCCGTATAGTAATAAAGATGCAGCCTGTGGGTCAGATGTACAACATGTTGCCCTCGCACCGCTGCAGCGGTTTCTGAACTGCACGTACACCTGGAAACGATATGCAAATTGAATGGACTGCAACGAGCGCTACTACAGGAAATCTCACCTGCTAACCATTCGGAAACTTGAGTCTTTTTTTGAAAATTTATTCTTCTCGAGTTTCTATTTTCATCGAGTAATATTCTTCTTCAACATTGACAAGATGTATCGATCAGCTTGCTTCATCTGCTTTGCAATTACACTGGCGGTTCAATATGTACTGTGCGTTGCTGAGCCACGAATGCACAAGGATTTGAATCGCATAACATGCCCAAATCATACACACGGGGTATGTATCCATGGTGCATCTGGGCGTCAGGCACCCCATCATACTCATTTCTAAATAATTGCAGGCTTGTGCAGGAGAAAACGTCTGCCTCCATCCGTGCAACCGGTTAGTAGCAGAAACCTCATCTTCTGCCATCCCAATATGCCAATGCATCTTTCTATCCAGGCATTTCTTGCCCACTCAGACGCCTACGTTCTTTTACGAAAACGCTCCATCTGACCCAGGTGGGTCTTCGTAAAATAAGGAGCACTTGTTCCTGTTCCTACAGCGTCCTAACAGAAGCCAGGCTCTGGATAGAGGTTGTTCCATCAGCAGAAGCGAAGCAGCTCTACTTCAATGAAATCACTTCAACAAGGCCGCTTTACAAGCACACATTAACACCGGGGAGCTCAGGCAGAATAGAGTTAGGTGCAATTCCTGAGCCAGGTATGTCATTTAATTAGCAGCCAGTAAAACCTGCCTTTCTCACACTAGATGCATTCTACAGGCTCGTACAACATCATCATGTTCCAGGTGAGGTGCAACTGAGATTCATTGTCACGTAACTCTTTGGAGTGTACCTTCCTGCGCAGAATAAGAGGACTTTCGAAGGAGTCTTGAGTGTGGAAAAATTCTGCATCAGCAAATTTTAAAAGCGGATCTGCTGGAGAGAATGCCCAATGCCGAGTCAAAAATTTCGTGCCCGAGCAGCTGCTGAGTAAAGCAGAGAAATTATGTATATGTAAAGAAACTAGCGATTGGGAGCTCCATTCTGCTGTTGGATGATCGTCTAAACGTTTGCCTTTTTCGCGGACAGATGACTGCCACATTGTTCTCACCCGGAACAGCACCACTACTTGCACCACTTTTTGTGTTCCTATTCTGGAACAACCTGGAGATGAAACTCATAAACTCAACTTTGCGCCTTCGTACAGCAAACTAAGTGTCGACGTGAAGGAATAGCTACAGTTGTCATACAGAGTTTCCTCCTCAGTTGAGTTGCCTCCAAGCAAACCTAAAGACACCCTTTGCTTTGTGCGCACTGCAGCAGCAGGCGCGAAGCCGAAAGCCCTCTGGCTACCATACAGAAATAACCAGTGTTTCCCGACTCAGCTAGTGCAGAAAAAGCATTTTACTGCCCTAGACATATCTAATTTTGCTGAGTCAACGCGTTGTATAGGTAGGACTGCAGCATTTTTGGCAGACAAAGTGCTGAAAATACCGCTGTATACAAGAGGACACATTGGGTGTTCAGCATTCAGCGCTGGCGCAAGCTATTTGCAAAAGTTGAAGCTCCACATGCAGCGCGCCTCCGGAGAAACAAGATATATATGTCGATTTAAAGGGAAGTTTTACATGTCATATTTTGCAGTTTCACCTCGGTTTGATATGGAAGGATCAGGAACATCGTGGGGTGTTTCTTCACGTACTGTCATCGATGATCTGGCAATATACTGCAGCTACGCTATGATGGGGGCTCCAACACCATGTTTGGTATAAAATAAAACTTGAACATAATTTTCTGAGAAACAAGTGGGTAAGCGGTACTGCTGCAAAGACCGTTAAGTCGCTGCATGCACAGGTGGTGGTGGTGTCGCTCCTCTGTGGCTGGTTACTCCTAGGTCAAGGGCTAAAGTTAACTTTGTATGTAGGTTTGCCGGTAGTTGAAGACAACCCTCGTGAATTTGCCGCGACAGAAATGCGGCTTGGTGCTTGAACCTGTGTAACTTGCACAAACGTCTTCGTTTGTGAAAAGTCTTCTTTATGAGGCGATGCTTCCGGCACCCTGAAGATAACTGCAGCAGAAGGATTGAAATACCAGTCTACTGCTCTACCTGTACCTCCAGGACGGTACATCTGTTGCTTCAAGCCACGGGCGGCCGCAAACGTCCAGCAATTGACACGAATTTTAGAGGGGGAAGCAGCAACAGCTGGCCCGCCGGCACTTTCTTTGGTTGATTGCTGCATGATAAGCCGTAAGAGTAGATGCGATAAGAACGGGGCGCCATCATGTCTAAGACAGTCATCGACTCGAGACCATGGGTGGAAAAGTAGTACGTGGAATTTCTTATTCAGCTCATCGCTAGCCCCACAGATAAAAGCGTCCTTTCATGTATCTCGAAAACCATACCGTTGTTTGTTTGAAGGCAGTGGTTTTCCAGGCTGGGGTTTATGTGAGTTGCTGCTCTCCTGGTTGTCTGCAGCCGCCCACGGAAGATTGCGGAGGTCTCTCAGCAGACCGAAGCAAAGCGTCTTCTTTCGAGGATAATTGAAACTGGCAACGTGAGAACGGCTCAGAATGTATACTTTAAAATCGCTGTTGCCGTGCCGTCGGCATGAGCTCCCGAGAAAGCCGCTGTTCTGGATCGTGTGTTACAGTTGCTGTGAAGGGGAATTGTCACTGTGCACAGATGCCGCATTTGCTCTTCTTCGGTCCTCCTGGTTCCGGAAAGACGTCCGCGGCACTTGCGCTTGTGAAAGAGCTCTTCGGGTATTTGAGACACGCAATTTTGAGGCTGCATGCAGATCTGGCGCTCGTCTTGTTCGTGCCCCAGGAAACGGCCGAGTGCAGATAGCACGAGTGACAAATTTGCACACGACGAAATAGCATACGTAGACGTTAATCACTGCACGCTTTGTGGGTTTTTCGATTAGACGAGAAGACTCCAAGACTCGACTGTTGGAGCTGAATGCGTCGGATGAAAGAGGTGAAGCTTATCTCAATTTCTAATAATCCGCAGTCTGTAGGAGGGCCCATTCCACTTCTTACGGTCAGTAAAATAGAAAATCCCATGTGTGTCGATGTAATTGTGCAGGTATTCGGGTGGTGCGTGAAAAGATAAAGAAATATACGCGGACCAACACGCCCAAAGGAAAAATCAACCCGGAAACAGGAAGGTATGCACCTGCTGCTGTGCGGTGGTCATGTCATTAGCAGCATGATTTTACCTATAGGCCATTTCTACCTGGACTGGATATGCTTCTTATCACTATGATTTCCTGCATTGTTTTGCAGGGAAATGCCCCCGTGGAAGATTGTCATGCTGGATGAGGCCGATATGATGACGCCCGATGCTCAAGCTGCCTTGAGAAGAATCATGGAAGCCTTCGCAAGAAATACGAGGTTCATAATCATATGCAATTATGTACACAAGTGAGCCCACACTTCAACTTTGTTCAAACGGATACATGCGAAATGTTTCCAGTTCCTGGGACTTCTGGCTTATCTGCACGAGCTTAACCACTGGACTGAAAACCACAAATGCATTTACCAACGACCATTTGTCCGCCCAAAAGAGACATTTGCAGCCAGTGTGTATGGTATTGTGCAGGATTATAGATCCTCTCTTCAGCAGATGCTCACCCCATCGATTTGAGCCTGTGCGTAACAGAGACAGAACCATCCTTCCGTGCTCCTGGGAAGTTTGAGCCGTGCTTATGAAAGTGTCTAGGAACGGCCGCAGTTACGCGAACGGGGAACTTAGCTTGCCTCTAAATGCGCATTTAGGTGTCACCGGATGCTCAAATGGAAAGACTCCACATGATTTGCAAGGCAGAGAATTTGACAGTCGAAGATCGAGCGCTGGAGCGTCTGATGAATCTTACATGTGGGGATTTGCGCCGCGCAGTGAACCTCCTACAGGTTCGTCGCTTTATCTACGACAGGAACGACGCAGCTTCACAAACGAGATTGCGTGTGCCTATATCGGCGTGGTGAAGTAGCGTTTTAATTTTGGCACATGATGAATCTCCCGGTAACGTCAATTTTTATACGTTCTAAGGTCTATTCTGCTGCAGTCTGCTGCGGGGATACACCGGACGATCACAGAAGACGCAATTCTCGAGGTTGCAGTCGTAAGGCTTCCTGATCTAAATCTCATCCAAGGCAGCCCGCTTTTGCACCTGTTGTGATGGGCACTACACGGCTATTTCATCCGTGCATTTACTTCCTTTCCACTTGAGCGAAGACAACTCGTTACGTCTGTCTGTGTACTGACAAACAGTTTTCTTTATCCCTCTTTTGTTTGTGCACAGCACCCTCCTACGTATGTCGTTCAGAGCGTTCTCACGGCCTGTGCAACTTCTCCAGAAGCGGTGAGCCGATTTACAGTATGGACCTTTCCCCGGCCAGACTGTGACATTAACACTGTTTATTGGCTAAATTGCGAACCTTTTGCATAAAGTAGAAGGCCCGAGGTGCCAGTGCAACGACGAACAGCGCCAGTGTACCGGCGAACACCGTCAGCTTGCATCCTCAGCAGGATGTTTGGTGTGTAAGCGTCAGGTGAACGAGGTGACAGAAGAAGTGGCGAATCAGGGCTGGGACGTAGCTCTGCTACTGCAGGAGGCAAGTGCTGCACGCAGTGTGTGCGTACAAAATCAGGGAGAAGCCGTTGAGCATACAGCAGGAGCAACCACGAATTCATTGGATTCCTAGTGTTCCTGTGTCATGCTTCGTAACTTAATTAGCGAGTGGCCGCCCTTTTGATAAAACTGAGGCTATCTTTGCGCAAATCCCGCCTCGCGTGAGCTGTTCTTTGCAAATATCCGATCGCTCAGATGGTCGCAGAAGTTGTGAAGTCGGAAAGCCTTTCAGATTTACAGAAGGCCACTATACTCCATGAGATCGGTTCTACGGAGTTCGCCGTTTTGCAGGGTACGCATGAACAGGACGTCAGTAACATCATCTTAATCCCTGTGCTTACCTCCTCAAAACGTCCCAGCACCCTCCTGGGAGATTCCACTGCGTTGCGACGCTTGTGTTGTGGCATGACTTGTTTCAGGAGCACATTCCCTACTGCAGCTTCTTTCAGCTTGCTTGAAGATACAAGCAGTGCTGATGCAGGCATGAGTTTATCGTTTCGAAAGAGGGAAACACGGTGTCGCCTGTGTGTCGCCTGGTTTGCGTATAGAGACCCAAAAGGCTCCCGCTTGTATGTGTGAGCGTATTCTTTGTCCTTGCAATTTGTGCGGTGTTTACTGAACTTGGGATTCTTGAGATGCACTGCTTTGGGGACCCGACGGCAAATCCCCAATGGACCGATGGGCGATGGCTTTGTTTTTGTGGATGCGTGGATCGTTCGCCTCCCTAGCGAACGAAGGACAGAGACCAGTGGCTGCAACTGTACTTGCTTCGTTGGCAGATAAGTGCCGTAAGTGTGCACGGCTCGCCTGTTTTTCTGCACTGTTTTGGATTTAGAACTGCATACATCAGGTGAGAACTGCATACTCTTTAGCGCTAAGGAGTCAGCGAAAGCTTGCAGAACATGTGTGTTGCTGCCGCACCGCGTAACCTCAGTGACTTTGGAAAAGATGCTTTCCGCAACTTTGTCACTGAACATGGGACTTCCAGCGAATAAGTAAACTTCCCACACCGCTTCAGTCAGCACGAAAAAGAACACCGTCAAGATCACGCAGTTGAGTGAACCAGCTGCGCGTAGGTTCTTCCTGCCCCTCTGGTACCCACGAGATCCAGAGTATGACCGAACGATTTCGCACCAGCAGCCAGAAAGGGCTATGCCGCAGTCCCAGTCGCTCAGTACTTGTCTCGAGGCATTGAATGTACAGTACATTATGCAAATTTAGCAGTTAATCAGAAGGCTGCGTTGCCTTTTGCTCCTCAGCTGCTGATCCACAAGCGATTGACATACCAGCCTCTGGAGTACAGGCAGTTTGTGGATCTATCCTTGTAGGCCAGCTTACGCTGCACTCAGCTTCGGCATGCCTGCGCTTTGTTCACACATTGAACAAACCGAAGTATAATTTACGCACTGCCGCACTCAGCGCACTGTTGACTCAGAACCTCGTGGAGAAGCGCTGCTGCAGGGTCTGCTTGTGAAGCGCTGCGCGGTACTCCGCAACTTGTTGCTTGATGACGGCCAAGCGCGAATGCACTCCAACGAAGTGTCGGTCACTTTTCAGACTTTCCATCGCCCGAGTGGCACTGGCCATTGCCAACTCTATCTGCAGCAGCATATCTGTGAGCTGCTGTGCGGCAACATCGGCTCGAGCGCGTTCTTGTTCATTTAGCTACGGCAAACAAACGAATACAAAACAACGCAGACACGACTGCAGTCACCCTGAGGCCCCACTGCGACGCACGGCGCATGGACAAAATGCGCATATGACAAACAAGCAGGCCAGGAGCTGCACACGAGAAACTCACATACATGACCCTATGTTGAGAACATTTTCGCAATGGACCTGCCGCCGAGTTGCACATCACTGCAAAGCGAGGAATTGTGTGTTCGTAAGGACTTGCAAAAGAGGAAACGGCAGGAGGCATCCTACCTGAGACCACAAAGGTACACTAATTGGTGACCCGAAGTACGGCAGATCTCCGGACTCCGTAAGCTGATGGAGAAGCCCGACGTAAGTGAATGCTGTCGCGACGTCATCCTGGCTGGTCAGCCACTGTTCAAAAATCCAGCAGAAGATGGTCTGCAGCTCTGCAGAATCTAGGTGACTATGCTGCTTTGCCACGTCATCCTGAAGCAGCAAGACAGTCCAAATCCTGCTTAGCGGACATTCAAGCACCAAGGGCTCTGGAAGCTGGAGGCAGTTATTCAAAATTTATGCAAACTGCTTCGCTCAAGATCGTGCTTGCACCATAGCGTGCAAGCCAACGGAATGCTACGATGTTTTGCCAATTAAAGATTACCTGTTCAAAGGACAAATAAAGATCTATTAAACTGCTGTATGACTTGCCGCACTCCGCGAGGCACCAGGCGGGCCAAAGAAATCCAGGAATCTGCACCGTCTCTCCCTCGGCATTGACCATAGCAACCTCCCCATCGTCCCAACGAGAGTGCGCGTGAATGTGTAAAACGACGCAGAGACGCTTGAGAGACCGGTCGCAGCTCTCCCGTACTGCAGCGTCCGGCAATGCCATTAGATGCTTAAGCTGAGATAGAACGAACACAAGAAAAGTCTAAATTAAATATGCTTTGGTTAGGATGAGATGCAAAGTGCACTTTTGCAAAGCAGGCTCAGGCAACAGGCGCCAAATTCTATGCTTTGCTCTTACCGCATCAGACAAAATCCGCGGTTGCTTTAAAGTCCGCGAAGAAGCCTCAGCAAAAGAAAGAACTGCCATGCAGGCATCATCAAGAGCAGCGCGTGCAGCATTTTCTTCCTCTGCCCATACTCCTACGTTGCCTATGTTGCGAGCCGTTGCCATCGACACACGCTGGCCGTACAGTCGTAGAGCTGCAATTGACGGAAAATGCGGTGTGATACGCTCTGACAGCCCGTATTCATTCATGTGGGTCGTCAACAGGTCCAAAAGCTCAAGGGGAGCGTAGACGAGGCGTTGTAAATCCACTAGCAACGAGAGAATAGACAGGCAACAGTCCTGAGGATAAAGGACACAATTTCAACTGAAGAAAATTGCCACAAACATGCCGTATGTGTTGAACAGTCCTCCAGTCCGTCATTCCTTGTTGCTGCTTCGTTGGACTGCATGTAGAGCAGTCTTATGTTGAGTCCTTCGTTGTTGTTGCGGCTTCATTGTAATCCGTCACAAGCGTAACAAACTAATAGGTTGGACACTAACCAGATAACTGTAGGGCTGCCCGCATTTGTCAGGAGGTCCCGTTACAGTATGAGTCGAAATTTCATCACAGAACGTTTCGACGTCTTCTGCTGAGACGGCCTGGGCTGCAGGTGATATGCCAGAAACCAGTGCTCGCTCTCTTTTGACAGACTGCAAATGGTTGACGGTAAGAACACAGAAAAGATGTGCAGCGTCCCTCACGAGAGCTTGCTGAAGGCCAACCTGAAGGAAAAGAAACACCAGAAAACGAAAATAAATATAGGCCCGCTGATGGCTAATGATTTGTCAGCTGAAGGCCAAGTGCACATCACGATTCTCTGTGGGCAGTGCGCTGGGAAATAGTTGCAAAGGCATTTTAAACGCAAAGACCCTGCTCGTCACTGTACATCTTTTTCTCTTCCCATCGAACTACGAAAAGGCTCAGCAGTCTAGAAGAATATGATTGGCTGGGGGGGCAAGCACTAACAGACCTACGAGAGGAACAACTATTTCACGCATACGCAAGCGCTGCACGCACTTGCAACGTGTATTCTTGGGAGGGCACTACCGCAAGCTCACCATTCGAATGTTGAGATCAATCTGTTTCAAAGAGTTGTCGCCGGCCGTTATTGCAAGACCATCAGCAGACGAATCAAGTCCTGCACTGGCTCGGTCACCCAATAGAGAATCCCACTTTACTGCGAGACGAATATGCACAAAATATCGAGTGGGGGAGCGTACACGTAGGCACTGGCTTTTGTGTTGGTTGCGCGCAACCGCTCTACCAACAGAGCGAAAAGCCATTTGCCCATGTACATCGGCTGAAATATTAGTAACCAGGCGAACGGGAAGTATCTATTGACGGTAGACTTACTTAAGTAATCGTTCTGGGACTTTGCCATTGAACTGTAGATTGCTTGCTCGGTGTGTCCACTGGCCTGTTGAAGATAATGTTGTACATTTTCCTTGGCCTTGACAAAATGAAGAAGTCTTTTATTTAGAGACGGCTCTTGCGAATGAGCTTTTAACCAGAAAACCAAAAAGTGCCAAGCTGGCTTCGTAAGGTTGCAGCAAAATGCATCTGTTTCCGCATCAAAGGCTAACAAAGAAGATACGTCGGAACCGTCTACTGGGCTCTCTGCTTCGGTGACTTGTTGCTGTTCAGAATTTCCAGAAGATTCTTGAATATTTCCCCGCCTATTCCCACTCCACTGCCGCAGTCCTTGAAGGCTGTGGCACTTCGCAGCCTGCAGACGCGCAAGGCCATTCGAAAAAGCAAGGACTAAATCCAAGAGGTAACATATATTCACCGAATAAGGTGCACGCCGCAACAAAACAATACATGAGCTTTGTAAATATTCAGCTTCAACTTTTGCATTACATAAAACTCGTCGGAGCAAATGCCAGCATAAAAGATGAATGTTTACTAGCCGGTTTGTACGAACAAAAGTAGAGGCAGCCTCAAAAAACTAAAAATCCCACCTGTGCATAAAGCCCCGAAGCCGCGTAGCGTTCTCCCAAGTCTATCGCGAACGCCGCGTCACTTCGAGCCAGAAGACGATCGGCCATAGGTCCATCGATTTGTAAAAGGGCAATTGGGAAGTTTTCTGTGTGCACGTCGCAGCAGTCACAACCTGACTTTTGCTGGACTGCGCTTCACGTTAGGATCCATATTCAACGTGGAAATGATGAGAATAGCGAGAAGCCGTGCTGCTATGGTGTGGCAATGTGCAATATAAGGCATTGTGAAAGGGCGCCACAGCTGTGCCAAATGTGTGCCTCACTGCCCCCGTTATTCGCAATCCAGTCCAAGACATAATTGTGTAAAAATTCATCATTACTCGCCAGGCACGCGTTCACAAGGGCTGCTGCACAAGCTTTGCTGTCTTGGTGCGCATCGGATG